CGACATATATACAGTACAACCTCACCACCAAAGCCCCTAAACCATCTCCTCACTAAAGTCGCTCAATCTGTCCGACCCTTAGCCTCCCATATAAGGCGACGCACTCCCCAGCGTCGGCGTCGGCGGCACAGGCGGGTAATACGACCCGCGGTCCGCAGCCGGCGGGCTATCCGGGTAAGGCGCTCGGGGCGAGCCCGACAAACCAAGCGGGCCGGATGCGCGTGAGCGAGACGAATCCGAGCCAGGCGTGCGCGGAACCGGTGCCGATACGCGCGCCGTCGCTTCCTCCCCTCCCCTCTGCACACCGCCCGCCGCCGGGCCAGCAGTCCCGCCGCGTACGGGACCCGGTGTCGGAGGATGCGGCTTGTCACGGTAAGACGCGGGTCGTGAGCTGTCCTTGGACCAAGTCGTTGAGCCTTCCATTTCGCGGAGCGGAGTGCGGCGGCCGGGGGCTGGGAGGATGCGCTTGTTGTATGTGGAGTTGGGGGGTGAGGGCGGGGGAAGGAGGGTGGTTTTTGGGCCAGGAGTGGATGGGGGGAAGTTGTAGGTGCGGTGGCGGGTGTGTCGGAGGAAGAGGGTTACGGCTAGGAGGGTGAGGAGGGAAGATATGATGGTTGTTGCGGCGAGGGCGAGGAGGAAGGTTTGGAGGGGGATTTGGGGGGGGGACATTGTGGTCGGAGATGAGGTGAGGAACGCGGCTCGTGGAAGATGGAGGCTACCTTCGCCATCTACGCAGAGGAAACATGCACCTACGGCACCCGGCCAGATATATCATCCCCCGACGGCAGGCCCACCATCACGGTGGGCTGCCATGTTCGCAACCGGCATCACTGCACCGCTATGCTTGCAGCTAGATCACAACGCCATCTCCGCCTAAACAAAGCACATATGAATCGTATGGCAGGCAGGTCGCGTTTCCAGGCGGGCTGGCGCTTAAATGCAGGCGCATGTTTCAGCGCTGGGCTCGCGCGATGCGGGATCTCTGCAAGATTTGGCCTGCAGATACTCTTCTCACTAGTTTACGCATCCCCTTCGGAGCAATATACTCACCCAGACGGACTGGATATCCACGGCCGTGAATTCGTCGTGCTGATGGCGACGTGAAGTTGCGATCCTAGTGTGTGGAGATATGACCCGTGCGCAAGGCTGAGCAATTCGGCGCCCCGCAATCAGCGGGTCCACCACGCGGAAGTGGAGACTGTCGACTCGGCATCACACACCAGGGGGCGCATAAAAGCCATTCCGCCCGCGATTTCTTTCCTCGCTTTGCACGCATTGCTATCAAGCCTAAACGGGCGGAGAGGCGCAGCATAGCGTGCGGGTGTTGGAAGCTGTATGCAGCTTCACGATTGGCGCGGCGCGGGTTTCAGAGTGCGCTGCTGGGGGCCTGGATGTGATGCTTTTACGGCATTTTTGGTCGGTTACAGCCAGTCTCGCGATGCTTGTGGCGCTAATGCGGTGCAATTAATGGCCTTTACACCTGCCTGATCGTCTACACTCACATTCTGGACCCCAGTGCACCATTAATGGCTCTCATATCTTGCGGCATGCACGCATGAGATACAACCTATTGTAGATCCCCGCGCTCTGATGTTGCCCTAAGGCAGGCGCATCGTGCCGTTGGAAGGAACATTCATATGTATCCTAGGAAAGTGCGCACCAATATCAGAAGAAGCTGTATCTTTTATTCTTGGAGGGCGCACCAACATCAGAAGGAGCAGTAACCTTATCCCTTATTCTTGGAGGAAAGGACAGGCGGATGCTTTCAATACGGGTGCATAAGGGATCAAGGCATTATGCCAGGTATGACTACAAGACAGGATACTTAGTTCGAAGGACTATAGCACTCTTAAGAGAAGGGGCTTGCCAGGGGAAGGCGTAAATGTCATGAGATGCATATGCGCATGACTGACGTATCCGTGGTATCTTAGCACGGCTTCGCCGCTCCCTCTCCCTCCCATCTCTTCACTCTGCACTCGTCGCCCGCACATGCTTACGCTATGCCCATCTACCAATGAACACAGCACACACACAAATCCCGCGACACGCAACCAACTTTCAAAACCAGCATCGAATTCATCAAACCCTACATAACCCGGAACCCGTCCGTCCGGCTAGCCAGCATCAATCATGACCCGCCAGCATCTCGCATCCATCCCCAAACTCTTAGCGACAAGATTACACAGTAACCCTCCCGTCATACAATCGAATCGAAGAAACCCCAATACACGCCAAAAAAACCCGGGGTATATCGCCCACCATGCACACCATACGCGCGCCCAGGCCCAGCCGGGGACCCCGCGAAACCCCAAACACCCGAACGACTCGTTAACTCAAAAGCGTGGCCCAGCCTACACCAAAACCACTCCCGCCATCAACGCGGCGATGCCGACTCCCCACGCGCCCACACGCACCGCAGCACCCCCGTTCGTCCCAGGCGTATAAACCGCCGGACTGGGCGCCTTCGGCACGCCCGTCCCTGTCGCGATAGGGGCCACGCGCGTCCCGTTACCGGCGAAGTGAGACGGCAGCGCGGTGCCGTAGCTGGCGGGCCAGGTGGAGGCAGGGACGACGGGTGGCGGCGTGCCGGTGTGCACTTCGGTGGTGACGCGGACGACGGTGCGGGTGGAGGTGAGGGTTGTTGTCCCGGTGTCAGCGGAGGAGGCGGCGGGGGAGGGGGCGTAGGCGGCGAGGGCCAGGGCGGGGAGGGCGAGGAGGGTGAAGCGCATTTTGGTGGTTGGGATGGTGAGGTTGGTAAGGAGGTGGTTGTAGTTGGTAGGTGGTGAGGTGGAGAGGTGGTGGTATGTTCTGGTGAAGTATGTGCTTGCACAAAACGTAATCGATATCGAAGCCGAAAAGAGTGACGGCCTGCGTAAAGAGCGAGTGACAGAGATCGAATCCAAGTGAGCGTGATTGCGTTCCAGCGGAAAAAAGACTCACACGAAGCCGGGCGACACCGCCCATTTACATCCCCTCCGTCGGGGGGAGGCTCATTTCCCTCACCCCACCGCGCCCGTACAGACCTCCCAGTCATTTCCCGCAAAACAAGGGACGGGTGCCCAAACAAGGGGCGCAGCGGAGCGCCGCCGTCCATGGGCCCAAACAAAGCGCGGTCCGCCTCCCGCCCTGTCCACACAAAGATCCCTGACTCCAGTGGGTTCATTGGTCGAGTGGACGCCGTTTTCGGGCTAGTCAGGTACGCCGCGGAGGCTGGAGTGAAACGGCGGCGATGGGTGGGCCCGCGCCGCGAGTGAGGGAGTGGAGCGGAGATGGCGCAGGATGCAATCGATAACCCGCAGCGACAGCGCATGCGTAGCGGCGCGATCGCATCGCACCGCATCGCGTGAAGGATGGAGCCGCGATGGAGCCGCGCTCGGTCGGGTCTCCACAGAAGCACAACGTCAACCGACCTCGCCTGACTGCGCACACAACCCATTTCCGACTCCGAACCAAACGCCCAACCCCCCCCCGGCTCTCAGCGTCTCAGGTGTCTCCAGCGCCTACGCCGCAGCAGTGACTCGTACCAACTTACCGCGGGCCCGCCCAGCAAACTCAACCCACGAAATGGCCGGCCAATGTGCGATCGACGTCATCTCCGGTCCCAGGGCAATCCGCGGCCCGGGCACTCGCACACCCTCATTGACCGAGGAAGTGCAGTCGACGAATCGTGGCCCCTCCCCGAGCGGGGGGAAACGTGGTTAGGGCCGGGGGAGGGATGGGGCCGATCTCGGTGGTGGTGTGCTGGCGCACACCTCACCTTCACCGGCCTTGTGGGCATGGTAACCATGGTGCCACGGCATATATCCAGCCGCCGCGAGAACTGCGTGCGCTGTTCGTATCGCATTCCCCCTCAGCACAGCAGGTGCAGGAACTCGCGCCGCCCGCTCTAGTTCTACAGTTCGGAAATGCGCGAGTGCGACGCCGTGACGGTGCACCAGGCACGGACGGCGGAGGTGATTTGCGCGGGGCGGGGATGGCCCGGTTGTAGGTTCGGTATGGGTAGGGGTTTGTGGGTTGGGGCCGAGATGGTTTACGGCGCGCCGGTTGAGTAGTCTGATGCTGCGGGAAGGAGTCAGACGCGGAGACCGGGCCGGTGGGGAGGGAGAGGTGGGGTGAAGGGTGAGAGGTCGGGGACGACGTTGAGGGTCCGGCTTCGGCGTAGTCAGGTTGCGACGTCGTCGGTACGTAGACGGTGAGCGATGGCAGGGATATCGCGTGCGCAACTCCAAAAAGCGAGCGCTCAACATGCACTCTAAGCGTGGAACACACATGGAAAACCTCGAAGCGCAAGCAAGGGGTACACATTCGCACCGCACTGCACACAGATCCCTAGGCATATTTTTCCGGTCCCCCACTGTCGTGCTCCCTAGGCACCACCATACATACGAGCAGCTACCTCATTCCTACATCCGGACTCGGGCAACAACCAGCCGGATACGAGCCCAGCATCACATCTATCATAATTCTACCATAGCACTCTATCCACCCCCGCCGCAAATCGTAAGCGTTACGGCAAGGCAACCAGCCCTATTACCAGACCTCGCCCCCATGAACTCAAGCGCTGGGCCGTCGCCGGAAGTGTGGCCTGTGCGGCGCGCGTTGCCGTTGTGATTTCGGCGGTGCTCTATGCGGTTGTTCTATGGAGTTGCTGCTTCCGGCGATATAGTGAGATGTTTATGCGGGCATTCCCCCGCCTGTTATGGGTCTGTTGCGGCGCAACGGCGAGCTTGCTTGCGCGGAGCCGGTTTGTGATGCCGAATTTATGCACAACTATGTTGTGATATGTGCTGGCTGCTATTGTAAGCTCGGTCGTTGTTGTTGCTCTATGGTGGGGGCTGAGGTCGTGAGGTTCGCGATGGTGATTATGCCAAAAACAAAGACGTCAATCGCGCAATCCCGCCACATTCCCCTCCTCAAAGCGCAAAAAGCTGTCACATACGCCACATGTTACGATCAGACAAAGAGAATGGTCAAAGAAAAAAAAAAAAGTATAAGGGCATTGAACCCGACCCGACTTGAACGGATAACCTTCTGGAGACTCGTCGTCATTCCATTTGCTGGAATCAGATGCGCTACCGTTGCGCCACGGGTCCAATTTTGATGACAAAAAAGGTGTTAGGCATAATGTTAAATGCTTATTAAGTGTTCAACCAGTGATGTCAGCGCCTTCCTCCCATGAAAGACCAAGGGCTAACCAAAAAATGTCATGCCGCCCCGGCGACTAGTTCTAGCCCTCTGCCAAATTTTGGAGAGAGGAGGACATGACTTTTCCAGGTAGCCCTTGGAGGTCTGCAAGATCCAGTCCTGTCGTTCTTTGACGGGCGGAGGTCCGTACTTAACGTCTTTCAGAAGTTCATTGTCCGTTGCCATGAAAGGCATATTCCGCATCATTCAGGTCAATTCCCTTCAGCGATACACACGCTCTAGATTCCGCATCCCGCGCTAGCCAACTTCCAAGGTTGAACTGTTGATCGACACCTCCAGCTCGCTGCAGGCGTGACATCACCACAAACGCCGCGCAGCATGAAAGGCCGCGCACCCGCAGCGCCGGTCCGCGGGAAGCATTTGAACCTACAAAGAACTTCTCGGGCACTTGCAAACACGCCTCGGACACCTACATATCTCATCTCAAACCTCATACAAACACTGTACCATGCCATTCCTCCGCCTCATCCCCGTCCGCACCCTCCGCACCCTCCGTCCCCAACCGCGGGCCCCACGCTATCTCCAGTCTCGCGCGCTGTCTCTCACCCCGCGCTGGCAACTGAAAGAAGACGGCGACCGCAGCCCCGAGCAACTTGAGAAGAAGAAGCAGGAGCAGATCGAGAAGCAGAAGAAGGGGGAGGGGCATTGGCATGAGGAGCTGGCGAGCAGTGGGGAGACGGCGGTGAAGGCGGATCGCGAGGATGTGGATGATCATGGGGAGCATGTGGAGAACTTGCAGCAGGAGACGGTGGAGCAGACGAAGGGGGATAAGGGGCGGTAGATGAGGTTGGGTACGGCACTGGATTGCAGTACCAGGGGGCAGAGGTTCTTTGATTTTGGTTTGGAAGACCTCAGCGCGATGAGCCAAAGTCCAAAGCGGAGCCTTTTCAATATGAGCAACATAGACAGAGACTGTCGTTTTCCCTAGCTACCGCGCCGGACGGACCCTTCCCCCTCGGGAGGAAATCCGATATCCATGGCGCAACAGTCTTGTCTGGGTTGTTGATGTTGAACAGGCATCGCTTTGGGTTTTGGCCCGTCTCGTTCAAGTCTTTCGAATCAATGAGACTCTGACATACATCCGTATAGGAAAGTGATTGGAGGGGATGGGTTGCTTTTGATGGGGTTTGCTGACAGATCCGACTGCTGGTTGGAAGGTGTAGAGTTGCACATAGCACCATTGCACGCGATCACCGCCGTTGGCGAAGGATAGGTTCTTGCCATTTAAACGAGAGTCGATTTATCACCAACTGTTGCACTACTTGACTTGCTCCTTGAGTCCTCAGCTATGAATCCTTGAAGGCCCGCATACATCTGTTGTCTCTCCCAACGGAACCATTCGCAGCGAAAGTCAGGACGTTTATAAATTAAAAGTCGAATGGATTGACGAGCCGAAGTAAGAGCTGGCTTTTCGCCGACAGGACATCCAGCATTTGCCGAGAGCAGCCGGGAGCGGAACTTGCCCGCCTCGCGTGATGGACATCTAGAAGCTCTCCAGAGACGGCAAGCGGTAGACTATGGAGATGAAGCGGGTAAAATCCTGGATGCTTGCGTCGACACAGCTTGCACTCCATAACCATGAGCAGAAAATAGATGACTGCAGAGCAAGGCGTGTCAACACCTGTTTTCGTAGCAAAGCCGAGGGGTAAGCTGCAGCAAGAACTAGGATTGTTTTTGTTGAACAGCAGAGAATGACGGGCGAGAGATGGCAAGCATCAGTCAATCAACGTTTCGATCCCATCCTGACGACTCGCTTTCTAACGTCGATCTGAGAGGTGAAGCAACAGACGAGTCGCTGTCGGAGAGTTATTGTCACCGTCGTTTGTCATCGCCACAGTCGCGAACACCAGCCACGTGCGTGCACGGCCACGAGTTACCTCACTGTTAGCCAATTCCTGGGCCAAGTGCAAAAGGAGCAACTTGTTCCTCCTCTCTCTCACCGCGACTTCCCTTTCAACCCACAACTATCACCGAAATAAGACGCACAACGCCATTACTCCCCGCTACTGCTGGCCGACCACCTCCCGGGCCATCCTCATTCCTCTCCGCCTCCTACATCCTCCACCAACCGCCGGTTCTCACCCATCCAACCTCCTTCCTCACCCATCCACCACCAAACCCCACATGTCACTCCATTGAGAGCCATGGACCTCTCCCCCAGTGGCGCCTGCGCCCGCGGGTTGGCTGCGCCGGGCCAACGACACACAACGCACCTCACCAGCAACGGCACCGCCAGCACCACCCACCCGCCAGCATCAGCACACGACCCGCGCACCGCGCACGCCGAACCCGATCCATCATCCAGCGCGCCCAGATCACAACAAGGGCAAGCGGCGTCATCGCATCAGCAGCCGCAACAACAACAACAACAACAACAACAACAACCACAACCCTCTCACCAACGCACGCACTCCCCCCCCCCCCCCCCCCCCC